GAAGATCATGCAGCGTGAAGGACCCCGTTCTTGCGTCGAACGTCAAGCAGTCACGTCGGGTTCTTCCGAAACCGCCTCGGAGGTGTTAGACCACATGAACCTCACGGCTGAACCTCCCGAAGAGTCATTGCTGCGTTGACCGCGATGGCTTGCACAAGTAGCACTTCATCAGAGCTCGGTCCCGCTCATCCAAGCATCTGTGGGTCATCCTCCCCTCCGCGGGCTGCTGAGTCTGGGTACCCCGAGACGTGACTAAATCGAGGAGCACAGAGATAAGAATCTTCGATTGCGAGATTCGGAAGCAGACGCGCAATGATCTCGGAATGGCTTGACCAGCTCTCGGCCAAGTGAAGAGCGGGAAGCGAGGCCCAGTCGTCCGGGAACAGGAATGGGCAGAATTCGTTATGGAATGAATGCGCTGCGGGGATCGTGAATCGGAAGTGTCTCTTTTATTCTCCAAGATACGATGATTCGAGCCCGTCCCAAGAAAGTTGTCCGGGATCGTTCTCATCTCGTGCCTGATCCTCCGAACTTTCGCGGACATTTCCCAAGGAGCCAACAATAATGAGGGACCGGCTTGGTTTTGAGATCTCTACGGTCCTGCGCGACGTCGACCTCACCCCCCGTCGGAGTCGATGGTGAGAGACGATGACAGACAACCGACCAGCCTGCCCTGCTCAAAATCCTAAACGATGAAGACTCGCATTACCGAGCGGCACGATATCCCGAGACGGATCTCTGCCGAGTATAGCTCCTGGTTTGAGAAAACAAGATCACCCGAGAAACGTAGATTCCTTCGGGGGGAAGCCTCTCCTGGATCCCGATTCGCTATCGCGGGAAATGTTCACTTATCGGGTTCATGTACATGTCTGGAAAGAAAGATAGCTGATTAAACAGGGATGAAACGCTCACACTCCCCGTCGCTGGCCGTAAGTTTTGGTTATTTTTCCCTCTGTATCTCCTAGCGGGTGGAATGACGCGGAAAGCCGCGAAGATCGCGGTCTCGTGGATTATAATGGAATTATATTCGGAGAAAGTCTATTCCTCCTAGATACGGAATCAGCGAGCTGATCAGAACGAAGCATGGAGTATCCTGTGTCACACTCCACAAGAGGCCCCTCCGTGGAACTGTCATATGGCCGAGCATCGGGTACCATAAAGGCGAATTCTCGGAAAGGCCATTCGCGAACCGTCGTCCTTATTCATTTATTCAATCGATTCAGGCATCAGATTATGATCCGCAATTCTCCGAGGAGCCTCGACGCTCTCGTAAAACTTACCAACGTTTCAGACTCTCTGGACGCTGACCGCCGGTATCCTGCCTCCTAGACCTGGACTATGGCTCTCCTGCGTATCATGACCTCGGTAGCGGAGTCTTCAGAGAAGTTTTCTCCGTATTGCGGATGGAAGCTTCGCCATGCTCAGATCGTGTCCGTTTTCTTAGGAGTTGTCGAGGGAACCCTGATATCCATCGCTCCCGCACATCAAGCACCCCCTGTAAGAGACAAGAGACGTAAATTTTCGAATTCGGTATCATTATATCAACAGAATGGGGGTCTGTTTGCGAGTCGTATCTGGTGAGAACCCACCGTGACTTCGTTTGCTCACGGTAGGTATTGATCCCGGACGATGGACAAAAAGATTGCGAACCGATCGAGGGATCCTCCGGGAACAGCACGGCTTTTGAATGGGTTGTATTATAGCAGTGAGAAATATGGGAAGCCGTGTAAGCTCCGGCCCCGTCTTGATCCTTCGGTGCTCACGCGCAGGCCCTCCGCGGATGGCGAGCCTTGAAGTATCCCGCTCATTCCGATGAGAGCCGCCTCGCTTCCGAGGGTTTCGTGGTAATTCTAGAGCTGATACATGCAAATACGCTTCCGGGAATTTCCGTGGAGAGAATGGCTCTCTGAGCCCGTCACGGGATTAGGTGGTTCTGGGGGGGCAGCAATTCCGTCTGATCGGAAGCTACCGACGAGCGACATCCGAGCTAAGCCTAACCCCGCATGCTGATCTGACCACCAGTTTGAGCTCGAAATGCCGGCTGTCAAGTCGACTTTTGAGCAGAAGAGTCATCCGGACCTGACGGCCTGATACATCCTGGAATCAAGACCGCTGGCCGGCGTGACCTATGTAACTCACCGACACACGGCGAACATCCCGAAAGAGAACTCCGGGGAAGCGACTCTTCTCGCCTTTCCCTAGAGCACTTCATGGAAGGAACTTCACGATGATTGTTCCTCCCAACCGCGGATTTTGGTCGATTAGATCGATTCGGAGTCACCTAGTTGACCAAACTTGATCGATTGCCGAACTTCACGGCGATTCCGCACGGGGCTGTTTGTTTCGCCCAGAGCAGCTGGGTCAGCTCGAAGCGTCTGTTGTCGCACGTCGTCTTGTTCGCTGGCCGGCGGATTAGAGAGGGTACCCAGAGGGCTGGCTGTGAGCAGTGAAGAAGATACAGACTGTGAGCACAGCCTCCGAGCCTCTGGCCGGACTGTGGAGCGGGCACCGTTCCGCTGTGTTGTGAGCCGGAGAGGGAAGCTCGGGGCCCCGCTCAGCTCACGGTGAGGGTAGAAGGCGGTGTCAAGGGCCTTTTCCAGCAAATGGTATCGAGGAACCGTGACGTAACGGAGAGAAAAAAGACAGTGCCTTCTCCAATGAGTGTTTGCTGAGCGAATGAGCTGCCAGTTGGCAAAGAGGCAACGATTTTCTTACCCAGTATATTTACCAGTCCAGCTCACAGGAAATCTCTGTGAGCAGGGACGAGCAAGTGTTACGTGGTGGGCGTTCGCATTTGCCGAACAGGGCTCGCAAGCAGTGAGCTAGAGGCAGGCTGTACAGAGACTATGCATCCTAACCGGAGACGAAATTTTTGGCATTGTGGAGACGTTACCAACGTGTGACGAAAATCGAGCGCAGCAATGTCGTGAGACGAGCTCGCAGCCCGATGCATTCAGCAGAAGCCGTGTGGAGAACATGGCTGGCGACGCCGCAGCGCCGGCGATAGGAAGAGCGAACACGGTAACAGCAGCTACGCTTGCTGTCTATCGAGTTCACTGCTTTTTCCTTGGTAAAACTGGTTGATCCTGCCAGTAATCATATGCTTGTCTTAAAGATTAAGCCATGCATGTATAAGTTCAGACCCAAGAATGGTGAAACCGCGAATGGCTCATTAAATCAGTTATAATTTCATGGGATGTGTTTTGTTAATTGGATAACTGTGGTAATTCTAGAGCTAATACATGCAAATACGTTCAACTTCGGTTGGATGTGCTTTTATTAGTGCAAACCATGCCCTCTCGGGGGCTGCAGGTGGCGACTCTGAATAACTTTGCCGAGCATTACGGCCTCAGGCCGGTGCTATTCCTTCAAAGTATCTGCTCTAT